ACCTACTCAGTCTACCTACTACATAAGCAATATTAGGTCCAAAAAAGCTCATCAAGTACAGTAAACTCTCAAATATCTAGGCATACTAAGGCTGAGATATAGATTCTCCTTTATTTTTCATTAATTTAGAATTAACATCATAAGGGGTACTCACTGGTTTTAGGTCATAAAACCCAAACTTTCTTAAGAAGTTTCACAATGTATTGTTCTTGGAATAGTAATATTCTATCTCCCTTCTTTATGATTCTAATACCTAAAATCACATTGGCTTCACCCATGTCTTTCATTTCAAAATTTGATCCTAGAAACAATTTAGTTATAGCGACTATCTCATTGCATGTACCAAAGATTAACATGTCATCTACATACAGGCATATAATGACACAATCACCATTTTCAAATTTAGAGTACACACATTTATCAACATCATTAGTGAAAAACAATCACAAAGCAACACATTATCAAATTTTTCATGTCGTTGTTTTGGTGTTTGTTTCAACCAATACAATGATTTTAAGAGTTTACATATTTTATCCTACTGACCAGGTACAACACACCTTTCAGGTTGAGTCATATGAATTTCCTCATCTGAATCATCATTCAAAAAGGTTATCTTAACATTCATTTGATGTATCACTAGTTTATGGATAATTGCTAGAGCTAAAAACACTCGGATAGAGGAAATCCTAGTCACAAGAGCAAAAGTGTCAAAGTAATCTATGTTGGGTTTTTGAGTAAAGCCTTTTGCTACTAATCTTGCCTTATATTTCTCTATGGATCCATTAGGGTGATATTTTTTCTTAAAGATCCACTTGCAACCAATGAGTTTTGCTCCTTTAGGAAAATCTACTAAAGTCCAAGTATTGTTTTTCTGAATTGATTCAATTTCAGTCGTAATGGCCTTATTCCACTATTTTGGATCAAGAGCACTAGTAGCTTCTACAAAGCTTGTTGGATCATTATCAACAAGATAAGTATAAAAGTCATCTCCAAAGGAAGTTTCCTTTCTTTGTCTTTTACTTCTTCTCAAATCCTCATTCATGGTATNCATTTATCAACATCATTAGTGAAAAACAATCACAAAGCAACACATTATCAAATTTTTCATGTCGTTGTTTTGGTGTTTGTTTCAACCAATACAATGATTTTAAGAGTTTACATATTTTATCCTACTGACCAGGTACAACACACCTTTCAGGTTGAGTCATATGAATTTCCTCATCTGAATCATCATTCAAAAAGGTTATCTTAACATTCATTTGATGTATCACTAGTTTATGGATAATTGCTAGAGCTAAAAACACTCGGATAGAGGAAATCCTAGTCACAAGAGCAAAAGTGTCAAAGTAATCTATGTTGGGTTTTTGAGTAAAGCCTTTTGCTACTAATCTTGCCTTATATTTCTCTATGGATCCATTAGGGTGATATTTTTTCTTAAAGATCCACTTGCAACCAATGAGTTTTGCTCCTTTAGGAAAATCTACTAAAGTCCAAGTATTGTTTTTCTGAATTGATTCAATTTCAGTCGTAATGGCCTTATTCCACTATTTTGGATCAAGAGCACTAGTAGCTTCTACAAAGCTTGTTGGATCATTATCAACAAGATAAGTATAAAAGTCATCTCCAAAGGAAGTTTCCTTTCTTTGTCTTTTACTTCTTCTCAAATCCTCATTCATGGTATCACTATTATTATTATCATCAACAGGTTGAGACATCTTACCAACCTTTAAGGGAAACACATGTTCAAAAAATTCAGCATTTTTCGTCTCCATTATAGAATTTCTCTCAAGTATGTTATTTTTAACAACCAGAACCTTATAGGCAGCACTATGTTTAGCATAACCTAAGAACATGCAATCAGAGGCTTTGGAGTCTATTTTCCTTTTCTTAGGATCGGGTAACATTACCTTAGCTAGACACTCCCATACTCTTAGACATTTAAGGTTAGGTTGGTAATCTTTCCAAAGCTCATAAGGAGCTTTGCCAGTTTTCTTATGGGGTATTCTATTTTGTAAAAAACATGCAGTAAGCAAGGCTTTTCCTCAAAGGTTATTAGGTGCACCAGAACTAACAAGCATAACATTCATCACTTCCTTAAGGGTTCTATTTTTTCTCTCAATTACTCCATTAGACTCAAGTGAATATAATGGGGTCACTTCATGAATAATACCTTCTTTAACACAAAATTCATTAAACAATACATACTTACCACCTCTATCTGATCTAATCCTCTTAATTTTCTTATTTTAATTTATTTTCTACTTCTGCTTTATAGGTTAAAAACACATCAAAGGCTTCATCTTTATGCTTGATTAAGTAAACTTTGGTGTATATCTAGAATAATCATCTATAAAGATCACAAAATAATTTTTACCTCCTGTAGACATGGTTTGTTTCAAATCATTTAGATCAGTATGAATTAACCCTAATAGTTCAGTTTGACGTTCAACAGAAAATCATGTTGTCTTTGTTATTTTAGATTTTACACATATATCACACTTACTAATCTGTTTATCATGATTAATCATAATCGTTGTAATTTCAAAACATACAAGAAATTCACATGTCCTAATCTAGCATGCCATATATCATACGAGTCAACAATATAAGCAGAAGAATTTGATTCTTTAATATTTTCAGAAACATTTAGAATGAAGAATCCTTCATCACTATATCACTTCTCCACGAAAACATTATTTTTTGTCATAATGATATTGTCAGACTCAAATGACACTTTAACCCTCACCTTTCCAATAGTACTACAAAGATTAAATTAACTCCGATTGATGGCACATGTAGCACATCACCCAAGGCTAGAGTCTTTCCAAATGTGAGCTTAAGAAGAACTTTTCCTTTTCCCAGAACAGGAGTGGTCTTGGAATCTCTGAAGTAGACATGTTCTTCTCTATCCCCTCCACTGGTGTAAAAGGTAAAGGCATTTCTGTTTACACATATATGCTTGGTAGCACTAGAGTCTACCACTCATTTGCTCACATTGGTCATTAAATTTAGTTGAGAAACGACCGTAACAATAATGTCATTTCCTTCGGCTATATTTGCCCTAGGAGAATTGTTGTTTCTTACTCTACGCCTGTGCAGTGGTGTATGATGGCCTGACTTTCCACATACGAAACAATTTCCTTTCTTCTTAAAGGTGGGTTTAGACTCATTGGGACGAGATTTAAGAAAATTATTTTTCTTTTGTGCTCAAGTATATATGTGTTCGTACCTTTTGGGAGCATGTCTTACTTCTACCATATTTGTTTTTGCAGATAAAACTTTGGCCCTTGCAGTAACAAACTACTTCGTGTTGGTATCTTCAACTATTATGTGTGTAATGAGTTCTGGTAAAGACATATGTTTGTGCCTTTATTTCAACTGTTGTTTGTAATAATATTTTATGTTGTGATATCTTTGAGTAGCTTATGGTATTAATTGATTTGAGTTGTGATGTCCTTGTCTTCAATCATCTCATAATGGTAATAGTTTCCTATGACGAATCTTTGTCTGACGACACCTTCGATAGTGTATTTGAGAATCAGCGAGTTCCAAATGTCTTTTGCTTCCTTGTATGAACTAACTGTACACATCGAACAAATAATTAGAAAGTGCACTAAGCAAAGCGTGTTGGCATACCTTTTTCGCGTAAGTCCACTCTTCAACTATTTTTGAGTTTGAGGGAACACTGGGATCGGGCTTCGGAGATGAAAGAGCAACAACAACTCCATACATGTCTAAAAGTGTGGACACGCATTCTTGCCAACGCGGGAAGTTCTGTCTAGAGAAAACCTTGACTTTTGACACGTCCGAAAGTGATTTTGCGAAGACTGTCTAAGTTCTAGAAAAAATGGTTGGGCTCTCCAAAGTCATGTTGCGAAGACTGTCTAAGTCCTTAAGATTGTTGTAGAAAGGCTGACAAACTAGTATTTCATGAGGCGTGTAGCTTCACTGTCCTTAAGGACTTATCCGCGGTGTATTGTGTGATTTCCTCAAGATACAACAGGAACTTCTCAAAATTTCTGAGAATCTCATAACTAACGAGAATCTCTAAAGAGAATATAAAATAACCCAGAATATTTTTAGAAGAGAAAAAAAAAATGAAACTAAGAAGAAAGGAGAATAAGATAATAATATGTTGGTGCGTTTTGGAATGGAAGAAGAATTCTCTGTTTATAGAGCTAAGAGAGAATAAAATCAATAAAAGAAAATGAAAAAAAATTAAATTTTTTAACGTTGGAGTACTCTATAAATTGCTTTTTTGCCGTTGCGAATATCAACGTTCTAAACGTTCCAAAGGTTTTAACTTTTGTAATATTAATATATTATAACAATATATATATAAATAAAATATTATATGTATATATTCAACCATGAAAAATTAATCATAGAAAATTTTCACTCTATTAAACAAAGTTTAATTAAAAGTAAATGGCATGCATGGACATCTGCCACCATAGTATTTCATCACACATTAAAAGTCTAATAAAAGTAAATAATATTTGAGTGAAATAATCTATATTAAGTTGTCGCTATCTTTCCGATCTAATCCTTCACTTATTGGATAATGAGATTCAATTTTTTATCCTTTAAATTCATCTTTACAAATGAATGTAAGCAGCGTTAAAAAAATATATATATCTTTGTATATATAATTTTCCTTTTCCTTTGTTTTCACAGAACAAATATATTTAAATAAGGTATGGGGTTCGTAGCCAAATCCCATAAAATTGTGATTTTATCCACTATCTATTATATTACACATTAACTAAAACCTTGATTACAATTTTAAGTTGTGAAAAACGATGTACAGAACTAAACATATAAACATCTTCTTTTCCATATTCAGATCAGAGGCCAAATAGAAACAATTAAAACACTCAAATGAAAGACATTTTGGGGAATGGAAACATATTCCTCAATCTTCTTGGAAAGAAAACTATTCCCTAGAATATAAATCAAGAACAAAAGCTAAGTTGCGAGTGCTAGACGTAAGAGGAGACTTAATACATAAGAAGCAGGTAAGCAAATCCCAGAGACAACAAAGCGGTGATTGAAGGCACTCCCAAACACCCACCGTCGCCAGAGTCAACGTTAGCATACTGTTTCTTAGTGTTGTCCATGTCAGAATTGGAGAGTTCTACCTTTCGTTCCTGCGATGGCAAAATGTAAGGGTACATAACAGAGTCATTCATGAAAGAGTGGTCAAATCCAAGCAAATGCCCTATCTGATGCATTGCTGCACTCTCCAAGTCCAGAATTCCATCCTTCACCGACAAGTTTCCTTTCTCATTGGGCAGCGCCCAAATCAGGTCGCCGTTGAGAATTATCTCAGCTGTCTTCACGCTAGATGAAGGGTTCTCCGTTATCAAGCTCAAGCCAAACAAGTCGCCGACAAGTACAGTAGAGAGATTGTAGAATCCAACCTTAATGTCCGCGTCGTCGTAGGTTGTCTCCGTCAGGTTCAAAAACCCTGCGGCATTCTCCCACCGCTTGAATGCATTTTTGAACACTTTGGCGAAGTCTTGTTCGACTTCATCCGGATGAAAACCGTACGTGAGGTTTGTCTTTCGGAACCACCGGTCATTGGCTTTGGGCCACGACACATTTTGGTGTAAGCTGTAGTCAAAATTCATGTCGGGGACAGCACATCGTGGTAGCGACATGAGTTTAAGAATGTCGGAGGTAACTGGGAGATTGAAAGATTCCATGAAGGTCTTGATGGCTGATAATGTTTGATGGTCGACAGTGTTGTTGAATGAGTCGGAGGATGGAAGGTAGCCAAAGCTAGAAAGGTATTTGTATCTACAAGGGCCGGACGCCGTACGGAAGGATCCATGTGAGCGGACGCCCTACACATTTTGGGCGGATCTCCTTACGGACAAGGCGGACGCC